AGGACGGACGAAAGAAGGAACGACATCCCTGGTTGTTTTTTTTTGTCGGAGGAAAAAAAACAACCAGGGATTTCCTTCAACTTTCGGAATTTTATCGATATTTTGTCGATAGATGTTTTTATAAAATATAATACCAACTAGGTTTTTGTGCATAGTTTGAGATAATATAATAATATACAATAAATCAGATTGATAATTATTTTATATACATATTTTGTAACAATTACTTACATTTTGATGTTACAGCTTATTTATTACAATTGATATTATATCTGGATGCTTTGCGATCCACCACTGTACGTTTCACAAGAAGTTTTCTTCCGCGTATGACCTCTCTGTGGAATAGTTTACCATCGGCAATTTTTCCGGACCGATAAGACCTGAGGATCTTCAAGAAAAGAGCTTATTCCTTTCTAAAAGGCCGGCAACTAACCTGCAATTCCCCTGGTGTTACAGATGTTCATGGGCGGTGGTAGTCACTTAACATCAGGCAAACCGTTTGCTCGTTTGCCCCTCTTCTATAAAAAAATAGTATTATAAAATTATTTAGAATTTCATGTAACTTTTTTAACCTTTTTTTTTACGTGGCAAAGCCATACTGCAGCTATATTAGTGGTAGTATAGTTGTAGCACGAATAGGTCGGCTCGACCGGGGAAGGACCATGCCCTCGCAGAATACCAGCGTAAAATAGCAGCTTAACTCTGCTGTTTTGTATGGCGAGTGTAGAGAACCGGAGACACTTTTCACTGTAAAGGAGGCATTCCATCTTAGCCCTCACGTGTGACAATGCATTTGCATTTTGATTCGTAATAGAGGATAGATGTACAAGTCTATGGGCCATAGCTGCCACTTACCATCAGGCAAACTGTGTGCTTGCTTGTCACCTTTCTTCTATTAAAAAAACCTTAAAAATAACAGTTTTGAATATTTAACGACTTTTTTAATATTGATACAAACAGAATTTTTTTATTCAATATGGGTTGTCCACAACTATACGTTTCCCTAGGAGTTTCCTTCCGCGTACAACCTCTCTGTGGAATAGTTTACCACCGGCGATTTGAAATAAACATGTTTAGTATATTTTATTATATAAACCATAACATTATACCCATATATTTAAAGATTTTAGAACACAATTAAGTAAATTATTTCTCCCGGGCAGTAACTACAAGGCGCAATGGTTACAACATATAAGAAATGCCATTTAGAAAGATAATGTTAAAGGTATATAAAGCAATAGTATTATTTAGTACGATTTGGGGATAAGTCAGCTAATAGCTCGAAAAAAAGATACTAGAAAATAAAGTTTTCAAGTGGCAGCCTTCTACTTGTAAGCGGAGTGTAGAATGGCCCACATTAGATAAAGTGACGACCTTTTTTTTATAGGATAGCGTGACAAACGAGCACACAGGTCACCAGATTGTGAGTGGTTGCTGCGGCCCATAGACATCTACATCTATCTTAGATTACAAATCAAAATGCAGATGCGTTGTCACCCGCGAGGACTAAGATGGAATGCCTCGTTTACAGTAAAAAGAGTCTCCGGTTCTCCACACTCACCATACAAAACACAGCAGCATTAACTACTATTTCACGCTGGTATTCTGTGAGAGCGTGGTCCTTTCCCGGTCGAGCCGAGCCATTCGTGCTACAACTATACTACTAATGTAACTGCAGCGTGGCTCTACTACGTATAAACTTGGTAAGGCATGCAGGAAGTCGACAGATGCTAGTGGCTCAGGCTAGTGACCGTGGCTCTCTATTCTTTGAGAGAGGAACCTGTTGCAATGTTCAGCTATGGACTGTAATAACTGTGGCTGTAAGGACCAATATCGTTACAGTCTACAAAGGTCCAGTGCTGAACATAGACTTCCCCTTTAGATTGTCTTATAGCGGGAATATTTGCAATAGTTGCCACGCTTAGCAAGCGGTTTGGCAACCGCAAGTTTTTATTTTTATTCGTTATTAGAAAGGCTCCGCTACCGATCTCCTGATTTGTTGCCCTTTGACGCCTCTTACGACACACTCTGATGATATGGGGTAGTGGATATTCTTACACAGCCACCACACGGTATATGCTGTAAGAATGATGGCGGTGAATACGACACCGCTTCACAATCCAAAATCAACAATTACTTAACGGGAACTTACGTTCATGCAAATAAAACAAGATAATAATCACGGTATAATAAATTGAAATTTAACTCGATCAAATCGACTTATAATTTGAAGCATGTGGTGGTTCAATTGGAAATTTAACCCAGAACGCTAATTGTTCTAATAAATCATTAATATAATTAGATAAATAGTGATTATGTGTCATTAATTTAATGAAATAATTTTACAGTAAATAGCAATAGTGTAATTATAGCGAAATAGGTATCTTCGATATAATAATTGATCATGGTATTATAGAAAAATAAAAAGAAAGAGCTTTCAAAGGAGAACTACGGTAAAAACCATCTTAATAAGAATACGCTTCCGCTTAATAGAGAATTGCATGTTTTTTAATTTTTTTGAAAGTTTACTAAAAGTTATTAAGAAAAATAAAGAAAGTCATTTGATATTTCATGTAATTTTACATTTTTTTTCCACGGGGGTAGAGCCATGCTGCAGTTATATAGTAGTATAGCCCCTCAATCCCCAGTTAAAACGATCGACATCGCCCGCGCTGTTGACAAAATGGCGTCGCTAATACTACCATATACAATAAATATATTTACTCTGCAACAAGATTATATATTTTCATTCTGTAAACGAAAATTCAGTAATTGATAAATATATTTTCAGCTTGATATCAAACCTAATGTTTTTATCAACACAATATGCTTCTTATTTATGATAAAAAGTGGCGAACTATTTTGTGGGCTTGCTTTTTCACGAATTAATTAGAAAATCAAATAAAAAAAACAAGGATCTAAGCTATCTAAAAATGTAAAAACTTCTGACAAATACCTGAAAGTATTTGGCAGAAGTTTTTAAAGAAGAAAGGACGGACGAAAGAAATAACGACATCCCTGGTTGTTTTTTTTTGTCGGAGGAAAAAAACAACCATGGATGTCCCTTCAACTTTCGGAATTTTATCCATATTTTGTCTATAGTGTTTTTATAATATATAATACCAACTAGGTTCTTGTACATAGTTTGAGATAATATAATAATATATAATAAAGCAGATTGATAATTGTTTTATATACATATTTTGTAACAATTACTTACATTTTGATGTTACAGCTTATTTATTACAATTGATATTATATCTGGACGCTTTGCGATCCACCACTGTACGTTTCACAAGGAGTTTTCTTCCGCGTACAACCTCTCTGTGGAATAGTTTACCACCGGCAATATTTCCGGACCGATAAGACCTGAGGATCTTCAAGAAAAGAGCTTATTCCTTTCTAAAAGGCCGGCAACTAACCTGCAATTCCCCTGGTGTTGCAGTTATTCATGGGCGGCGGTAGTCACTTAACATCAAGTGAACCGTATGCTCGCTTGCCCCCTCTTCTATATAAAATAGTATTATAAAATTATTTAGAATTTCATGTAACTTCTTCAACCTTTTTTTACGTGGCAAAGCCATACTGCAGCTATATTAGTGGTAGTATAGTTGTAGCACGAATAGGTCGGCTCGAGCGGGGAAGGACCACGCTCGCGCAGAATACCAGCGTAAAATAGCAGCTTAACTCTGCTGTTTTGTATGGCGAGTGTAGAGAACCGGAGACACTTTTCACTGTAAAGGAGGCATTCCATCTTAGCCCTCACGTGTGACAATGCATTAGCATTTTGATTCGTAATCGAGGATAGATGTACAAGTCTATGGGCCATAGCTGCCACTTACCATCAGGCAAACTGTGTGCTTGCTTGTCACCTTTCTTCTATTAAAAAAACCTTAAAAATAACAGTTTTGAATATTTAACGACTTTTTTAATATTGATAGAAACAGAAATTTTTTTATTCAATATGGGTTTTCCACAACTATACGTTTCCCTAGGAGTTTCCTTCCGCGTACAACCTCTCTGTGGAATAGTTTACCACCGGCGATTTTTCCTGACCGATACCTACGACCTAGGGACCTTCAAGAAAAGAGCTTACTCCTTTCTAAAATGAATCGCCCATGAACAAATGTTGCAGTTGCAGACATCAGGCGAACTGTGTGCTTGTCACCTTTCTCCTTTAAAAAAAAAACCTTAAAAAATAACGAGAACGAAAAGAGGCACAAAATTTCGTCAATATTGGTGGGATACCATTGGGACTGGAAATCGGCAGATGCAATTTGGTAGCGTAAGATTTCGTCTCAGCTACAATGTGGCCTAAAATGTCATCATCCCAAAAGGAACGAAAAGCATCATATGCCAAATTGTAAAACGGAACCGTACCAGTTCGCTCAGGTACAAAATTCTCCTCGTGGCCTTAAAAGGAGTCCATAGGAGACCATTCAAACTGGAGGTTTTGGCCTTCTAGCCGAGTAAGACCATCTGTTCCATTACTGGCGATAAAAAATTCATCCGTATCTTCGCTCTCACTTGGATCCTCTCTTTCATTTCTGTTTCTTCCCTGACTATTCCTTTCGGCTCTAGCAGCATCTCCTATTCTCATCTCCCGTCTTATCAATTCAGGGGGACGACGCCATCATTCAAATAAATTTGACACAGTGGATGTCCCACCTCCCACTGTTGTCCCCCCTACGGCACCGTTGCGGATGCCCACGCCCACGTGCTCGTCCTCGCATAACTACACCACGAACACCCCTTTTTCCACTCTGCCACCTCTCACCCGTTTCCGGGAACACAAACATTGGATGGGCATCCGGGGCTAAAATACGTTGTCCATGACGACGTCATCCTCAGTGACATTAACACGTCATCCACACCGCCGTTTTCATTTAAAATTTCAATAACCACAATTGGTTCACTCCAAAAAGAAATTACCTTTACTCCACGTCAATTTCATCAATAATAATAAAAAAGTAAAAATAAATAAATAAAACTTATGACTCTTATGACTGGTATGGTCTAGGAGACCTGTCACGACCTTCTGGTGATGTGTCACGGAAATGATTCTCTTCCTAAAACATAGGTGCAAACAAAAATATCCATGAAAACCACTTCACCAAAATATACAAAATTCAGTGTGTATCAACGCAAACATAACACAAAAAATGTATCACCTCGAATCCGACTGCTTCCACATCATCACCGGGCTGTTCGCGACGTCCAGGTGTAGGAGGAGAATAAGCCTCGGATGACGACGAGCGCACGTCCTCCACCTTAACATAAAAAAAGCATATAATAGTGTATTCCGCACATCTTCCTCTTAAAAAATGCAATAGTGTGCTTGTTAAACCATAAGAACCGAAATCACAAAAAACGCAATACAAGTGTAAATCAGACAAAGAAAGTGAGATTAGTGCAAATCAAAACATACATAATACCAGTCATAAACCAAGCATGAAAAACATAATACAAGAGGTATTAGTGGCATATAAAAACATTTTATTTGAGTTGACTGATATACTTAATATTGTCATTATCGAGCAAGTCTCACAGATCACTCACTCATGTACTCAGTACAGACAAATTAATACTTATCAATATATATGATCAGTTCTGACTATTATTAATAATTAATGTCTATATAAACCGATTTAAAAATATTTTTAAAGTAATATAATTTTAATATTTTAAGCATGTTCCTCCCCGGTCCAGCCGACCAATTCATGCTACAACTATACTACTAATATATCTGCAGCATGGCCGTATAAAAACATTAACTATATATTGACTGCATACATGACTGAGAAGAATTACATCTCATGAAACTTTACTAACATCATACTTATGGTCTTTTACTTTAGGGTAACAGTACAGATACTGTTAAGGCCTTTACAGCCCAAAAGAAATATATTCGAGCTACAAATGGTTTGGCACCAGATTCATTGTGTAAACCGTATTTTAAAAAATTAAGTACACATTTTAACGCTGTCATATATGTGCATCTTAAATTTTGTTAAAAATAATATACTTTTGTTCACAAAGTTAAGACATACTATACAGAGGAACTTGAGGCATACTGAAAGACTGACTCATAGTGTAATGCCAAGCACTAGCCTATATAGGAAAAATTGTTCAGCTATGTGTAAAAAAAAATTCAATGCACCGCCGACAGAGTTTCAAGCACTCCCAAAAGTATGTTTTCGCGAATTGTAAACAATGGCTTGAGGAGCAATGCTTCTAATCTTTTGCAAAATAATAAAAATTTATGATTATAATTAGGATTAGACATTGGTATTAAAATGAAGTTGGTAATTGCAATTATATTATTTTAATAAAATTAAATGTAATAAAATGATTATGATGAATTTGAAAATATGTTATTTATTTTATTAGTTGTGAAAATGTAATTTATGTATAAGTTTAATATTTGTATGTCAACATTATGACAAAACATGCTGGTCCTGCCCCCATTAAGTTTTCCTTAAATAATTATATCAACTTGTGAATTCATTAGATAATATAATGTCTATATAAGTTGCCCGCATAAAAATATTATTAAAATATGTATATATATATATATATATATATATATATATATATATATATATATATATATATTATGTGTATATATAAATTAATAATCAGTGTGGTCGTTCCCCAGTCGAGCCAACCCATTCATGCTATAACTATACTATATTAAGGTACCCATTGACGATACGTCCATTAATCCAAATGGAGTGGCAATCGCCCGAAAGTGTTCTGTGAATGTTAAAAAACTATTCCATTTGGATGGACTCCATCAAACTCTAGATTTCCAAAAGGATTGAAATCCTTGCGTCCAGTCCAAATGGACGTCGTCCACGGCCGTCCTCGGTCAATGCCAAAAACGTGCGCCACGCCAAATGGCAAATGGAAGCAGTCCGAATTGTCAGTGAATGGGCGAACCGGCGTCCATTTTTTGGAGGTTATTGTGTCAGTTTATGTTTTGGTGTTGATGGTACATGTACTCTGTTTGTCAACCATAAACTGCGTATTGGATTAAATATATTTTTATTGTGTAAGGTATAGGCTGTGATATGGGTGACAAACAAGTACACAGTCCACATGATAAGTTGATACTGTAGCCCATGGACCGAATCTATCATCGAATAAGAATCAAATGTAAATGCGTTGTCACCCCTGTAGAACTAGGTGAAGTGCCTCGTTCCCAGTAAAAAGATTATCCGGTTCTTTACACTCAGCATACGAAACACAGCAACATTAAGCTGCTATTTTATGTTATTGTCTGAGAGCGTGGTCCTTCCTCATTCAAGCCGACCCATTTGTGCTACAGCCATAATATAGATGTAACGGTGCTCTACCACGTATAGTTACAAAGAATAATATCCACTATATGTTGTTTTCTTTAATTTCTACCTCAGTCAACGATATTGCTCCACCATAATTTATACCATATCTAGAATGGGAATGAACTAGTACACGGTCCACCTGGTGGTGGGTGCTGTGGCCCACACATCACATCTACATGTATTCTCAATTAAGAATCAAAATATAGATGCGTTGTCATCTTTGAAGACTACGATGGATTGCCCCGTTTAGGTTTTTTTTGTCTTTTTAATGAAATACACGCCGCTGCAGCCACCAGTAAAGTATTATTACCCATGTTATTATTTATTTCTGTTCCGTACGACCACCAAGTTTGAAGTGACGCCATGTGTCCAAATGGATGTATCGTCAATGGTACAGTATCTGGATATATTTTTATTTTGAGCGCATCCATTTGGAAGTCTTCTAAATGGACGTATCGTCAGTGGGTACCATTATATATTAATAGCTGCAGCATAGCCCTACCACATATAAAATATTTTACAATAATAATAATAATAACCTTACCTCATCATTATCTGGCTCAAAATCATTGTCCTCTGACAGATCATAATCATACGCATAAAGAATGTGCATGAAGTCTGCGAGCAGATCATTGTTTGCTCTCCAATTTGACATCTGTAATATTTTATACAATAAATAAATAAAAACATATTTTCACACCAAACTGTATATCACATGGGTATTTGTTACATTACAATACATGCTAACAAATTATTTCTCTCCTTTTGTAATATAAATAATGCTTATAAAATGGATTATTCATATAAATATATAATAAAAAATTATCAAAAGAACTGTAAAGTTTTATTCCGGTACCCCATTATATGACATTGATCTTTGACCATGAACACATTACACCACAGTAATAATAAATAAAAAATACACTAAACAATGTCATGATCATCATCATTACAGCCCTTCACAAATCCACTGCTAAACATAGGACTTCCTCAATTAATGCTACAAGTCACGGTCCTGAGCCATCTGCATCCATCGACTTCCTTCCTGCATGTCTTACCAGGTCGTCACTCCATTTAGTGGGGGGGGGGGGTGGCCCTACACTACGCCAACAAAATACCACCTCTTTATCCATACATATAAACTATTGACATATCCCATTACCATTCCAGTCACTGCCGAATAATAAATTCAACGCCGTAGTTACATAAAATAAAGCTCGAAATGGTTTGCCGATTGTAGAATGTGGAGACCGCAATTTTTTATGATCAGTACATGGAACTTATCTTACGTTTATTCTCAATAAAAATCGTTTGTAAACTTCAATATAATACTTGTTTATGTTTATTTATTATTTTATATTACTTGTTTAGTGGTTTAGTTCATTACAAAAAGATTTTATTGTATTTTGATACCAAAAAACATTAAAAACCACGCGTATGTCGGCAGAATGAAAACCACTATTATTTATATATATATATTAGTCGAAATTTTTTACGTAAAAAGATAAATTATGTTCACACAAAAACTTTTATAACAATTTTATAATAAAACACTGTACTTACCTTCGTTGTTGTCCTCTGCAGGGCATAGTGCCGTGCAGGTCTCGGGCCTCGGGGTATACCCCTTTACCCGGATGTTCCTCACGGCACACTACAGTGTGCCGGTCCTGGGCGCCTTGATGTTAAAGGCGTTGTATTTAGCGACTTTGTCGCAGTCGGGTAATTTATCGTTAAAGTAGGTTATCTAATAATTTGTGTTTAACACAAATTAATATGACAAAGTTGGCCTTTCTGCGGCATTGTGGGGTTTACTCTACTCCCTAATCTATATAGGGAGGAGTGCAACGGCGCGAAGCCGTTGAGGTATTCGTGTGGCCCGTTGTCGGCGCGGTCGAACATAAACCAAATTAAATATGTCCACTGGGTTACCGGAATAATAAATTAAAGTGTCTATTTCGCACAACACTACACATAAATACAATGTGGTTCCAGCATGAAAATCTAAACAGACAACAAGAAACAGAGGGCTAACCCAAATCAACGAAACTTATTGTAACAACCGAAAATCACTTATAAACTATAATAAAACAATTTGCTAAGCCGGTAGCCATTATGTCATATAAAGTTGCTACTTGCCAGTTCGAGAATAACCAGAATTGGTGTAGTCGCCATCTAGCGCACCTTTTAGAATTTAATGTTCGAAAGTTTATACGGTTATAGTACGAGATGGCACTAGTATCTTTGCAAATTATTGAACCCCAACCTAAAGTATGGAAGTGTACCCCCCCCCCCCTGGCAGCACTGCAAAATAGCAACTAGGCATGTCGATCTTAAATCGATTCTTTGGAGTAAAATAATCGATTATCGATTCAGAGCACCGCATCGATTCACTGAATCGATCCAAAAACCTCTCGAATCGGACTGATTTATCTGATTCAAGAACTAGCGATAAAATTCCCAAACTGGCTGGGATCAGATACCGCAATTTTTTGCTGTTGGGGGACGCAAAAACAACCGGTCGTACTTAGTTGATAATTTGAACTCAATATATATTTGAATAAACTAAATATTTAGGAACGCATCCAACAATATCGAAAAGTTGTCATTTCATTTTCATTTCTAAAAAATCAATGTCGCGATTAATCGAAAACTCGATTCAAATCGATTCAGAGATCGATTTTTTTTAAGAGTGAATCGACATGACTAATAGCAACCACACCCAGATAGAGTAACAAACTTTTTATTAAATAAGAGGATAGAAAATTTCATATCGAGCATATAATGTCAAACTTTTTCATGGAAAAGTAGTCTCTAAATGTAAAACTTTATGGGTTAAAGTGCTGTGGATATGTATAGTCGGATCCACTCACTTGGAATTGGACGGAATATCGCCGTGGTCGGATCTGACCGCGTGCATATTGAGAGGATAGCTGTAGCGCGAATGGGTCGGCTCGACCGAGGAAGGACTACGCTCTCACAGATTAACAACGTAAAATAGTGGCATAATGCTGCTGTGTTTCGTATGGTGAGTGCAGAGAACCGGAGACCCTTTTTAATGGAAACTAGGCATTCCATCTTAGTTCTCACGGTAGACAACGCATTCGCATTTTGATTCGTAATCGAGGATAGATGTAGATGCCTATGGGCCACAGCAACCACTTACCACCAGGTGGACTGTGCTCGTATGTCACCCTATACAATAAGAAAATATTAAAAATGGTTTTTCTGAAATTTAAATTCAAACAATTGATAGAATCAGGCGTTACTTTTCGGAAATCCATTATGATAAAAATATTAATTACTTCGCAACCTTCCGCCAACTAAATACAATGATGTGTCTTACCTGGATTGAAAAGCACCTCCCGCTCTCCCTCAATTGCATGCACTAACTCCGTCACCACTATTCCAGGTAAGACACACCATCGACAATAATACGACACGTGTTTTACCTCTACACGAGGCATCCTTAAGTGATGTAGACTCTACGGCGGCTGACCACTAAGTGAGCGGCGAGTTTTTTTTTTTTTTGCGCCCGAAGCAAATATGGGCAACCCTCCGGAAAGCGGGGGAGGGAGGTTGAGAATGCTCATAGCATACCAAGCAGCCGGCTGCGTGGTTATGTGGAGACTTTTACCCACTAAACTCAACCTTTTGGGAATTGGCTTAACGATCTGACTAGAGATCTCTAAGCCGTATACGAACGCGACCCTCCTTGGCAGAAAGGAGGGCGCAAACAGAAAGGAGGGCGCAAAGAGCGGCGAGTCGAAACAGTTGCTATTTATATACGCCGACACAACCGCTCCCCACCAAAGTAGCGAGTGACCCCGCCGTGCGAAAACAAACTTGGGACTAATTATCATTATTGTTTGATTAATATATTTTAAATATTATTATTATTGTTGTTTTTTTTATTGATATTATTATAGTTATTTATTATTCATCATCATCATCATTACAGCCCTTCACAAGTACACTGCTGAACATAGACCTCCCCCAAGTAACGCCACGAAGCACGGTCCTGAGCCACCTGCATCCATCGACTTCCTGCATGTCTTACCAGGTCGTCACTCCATCTAGTGGGGGGTCGCCCTACACTACGCCTACCGGTACGAGGCTGCCACTCGAGAACCTTTATTCCCCATCGGTTATCGGTTCTTCGAGCTATATGGCCGGCCCATTGCCACTTCAGCTTACTAATCCGTTGGGCTATGTCAGTCACTCTGGTTTTACTGCGGATATCCTCATTTCTGAGTCTATCACGCAGAGAAACTCCGAGCATAGCCCTCTCCATAGCTCGCTGAGTGACCTTGAGCGTCTTCATACGGCCAGCAGTGAAGGACCACGTCTCTGATCCGTAAGTCATCACTGGCAACACGTACTGGTTGTACACTTTAGTTTTCAGAGATTGAGGTATACCTGACGAGAAGATGTGTCGTAATTTCCCGAACGCTGCCCAGCCGAGTTGAATCCGTCGATTGACCTCTCGGTCGAAGTTGGACTTACCTAGTCAGACTATTTGTCCCAGGTAAACGTACTCGTCAACAACTTCGAGCCTAGTGCTCCCAACAACTACCGGCATAGGTGTGACATGGACATTGAACATAATCTTTGTTTTGTCCATGTTCATCTTAAGACCTATCCGTTGGGAAACACCATTGAGGTCATTGAGCATAGTGCTAAGGTCCTCCAGCGATTCTGCCATAAGGACTATATCGTCGGCAAATCGAAGGTGAGTGATGTACACGCCATTGATGTTAATACCGTATTCTTTCCGGTCCAGTAGCTTGAAAACGCCTTCCAACGCAGCGGTGAAGAGTTTCGGGGATATAACGTCACCATGTCATACAGCTCTCTGCAGTTGGATAGGTTTCGACCTCTGGTTCTGTACTCGGATAGCCATCGTAGCCCTACTGTACAAACACTTCAGCACCTCGATATACCGACAGTCAACTTGGCACCGCTGAAGGGACTGTAGCACCGCCCAAATTTCGACGAAATCAAAGGCTTTCTCATAGTCCACATACGCCAGGCAAAGTGGCAGATTGTACTCCTCGGTCTTCTATACAATCTGCCGCAGGGTATATATGTGGTCTATGGTACTGAAGCCTTTTCGGAAACCGGCTTGTTAGGGAGGCTGCAAGTCGTCGAGTCTGCGTGCGAGACGATTCGTAATGACTCTCGAAAACAGCACGTAGACGCGGCTCAGAAGGGAAATCGGTCCGTATTTTTTCAAGAGAGCGTTGTCGCCTTTCTTAAAGAACAAGACCACCGCACTTCTGCTCCACGCCTTCGGAGTAGTGCCACCAAGGAGGACGGAATTGAAGAGCTTCTGAAGGACTTCAAGTACCGGTGTTCCACCCTTTTTCAGAAGCTCCGCTGTAATTCCATCCTTGCCTGGGGCCCTGCCGTTTTTAAGGTGCTGGAGAGCCATTCTAATCTCGCTCAGACTGACGTCTGGGATATCATAATAGTGAAGTAATTGTAGGAATAGTGTCGGGTTAGACTTGCTCTTGAATCGTTATTCACACTTGAATGTGGCTGCAACGATGATGTGTACAGCTGCCCATAGAACCTCTCAATCTCACTCAAAATCTCAGGTGCCCGGAAACGATGCTGCCACACTCAGTCTTCAGCTTTGACAGTTGGCTCTTTCTG